AAAGCGCCTTGAAGGCTCGCTCTTATTCTGGCCCCCAGCTCCATTGTGCCGACTTTTTCAAGAGTGCAGTCAAGGGCGCTTGGAGGGCTGCACAGTTTAGGATGAAATGTCGATAGTAGTTCACCATGCCCAAAAAGCGCCTCAGGCCCTGAATGTTTGCCGGCATCGGATACTCCACAATGGCACGTAGCTTCTCCTCGCACGGCAGAACACGACCGCTCTGAATGGTAAAGCCTAATAGTGAGATGCGAGTCTCAGCTATTTGAGCTTTCTTCGGGTTCAAAGTCAACCCGGCGGCACACAACCTCCTGAGGACATCCTTTAAGTGGTGAAGGTGTTCCTCGAAAGTTCGAGAGAAGATGACGATGTCGTCGAGGTATGCCATGGCGTGTTGCCATTTAGCGTCCTCTAGAACGCCGTCTATCAATCTTTGGAACGTAGCTGCTGCTCCAGAACAGCCAAACGGCATGCGGGTAAACTCGTACAAACCTCTGTGAGAGGTGAACGCAGTTTTCTCCGCGTCAGCCGGCTCCATCTGAACCTGTAGGTAACCGCGGCTAGCATCCAAGGTGCTGAAGTAGCAAGCACCGCCTAGAGCAGCCACGATCGAGTCAACATTAGGCATAGGATAAGCATCCTTCCTCGTGACCTCGTTCAACCGGCGATAATCCACACAGAGTCGATGAGAGCCGTCTCTTTTGGGGACCATTACCACCGGTGAACCCCAAGGACTGTTTGAGCGTTGGACAACTCCGGTCTTAATCAACTCATCCTGTGCCTGGTCAATTGCTTTCCTTTTTGCCGCACTAACGGGGCGAGGATTGCATTTCCACGGTTGTGCGTCGCCTGTGTCGATCCGGTGCCTCACCAGAGCGGTGCAACCCGGACGTTCCGTGAATGTGTCGCTGAAACGTGACAACAGCGACGACAGGCGTGCTTTCTCGCATTTCGACAAGCTGCCTGACAAAGGCGGTAGCGAGCCATTCGAGTTGCTGCTTAGAGGGGGGGGTCACCGGCACAGCCGAGACCTCGTTCATCGCGGCAGCATTATGCTCGAGGGAAGGCTGTACGCACGAAACCGTTTTCCGCCGCGCCAGCCAAATTACCAGTCTTGGCATCGGAGGGGGAGCCGCGGGCCGTGGGGGCAACGCTTGGTCTCTTTTCCTTCTTCCTCGTGGCGTCCGGCGACTTACTGGCAGCCGAGACCACGGGAGGTGCGGAGAAAGGCCGTAGGGTGTCGGAAGGGCTGTCGCTGTAGCCTCCGTTTGCGACGTCAATCACGATACCTGTGCGCGCGATACGGCCGATACTGGAATATGCCAGTAATGTCTGGAGTCCTCGCCAAAAAGTGCTTGTAAATAAACTTGAACGCATACAACGGCTTGCAGCTCGCTTTATATGCTCGAGATATAAACAGAACGACTCAGTCACAGAAATGCTACAACTATGTGATCTGGAGACGCTCCACAAGCGCAGACGCAAAAATAGATTAAAGTTTCTTTTTCAATTATTAGAAGGTGAGTTTAAAATTAACAGAAATGACTACATAGAACAACCTGGGAAACGAAGCGAGAGGGCAAACCATACACGAGTACTGCACCCTTATTTTGCACGAACGAAGGCGTGCCGTCATACTTTCTTCCCCGATGTCATATTGAAGGTTGGAATGGGTTACCGAGTAACATAGTCAATGCGAGCGATGTTAATGAATTTGTGCATTTACTTGATTTACATTTATGTGATTCATTGTAAATATTATTGCAATTGTTATTCGTTGCATTGCGAATCAGGGTGTGTGTTTTTCATTTTTCGTTTGGAATGCAGAGCTTTCACGGATTTGTATATATGTATATCTATAGTTATATCCCCAATTTATTTGTACAGTGTGCCGTACCTTTCCTGTAATGACCCTCAATAGATGTTTGACAGTATTTCTAAATAACAAAAAAATAAATACTGTTGACAATAAAGCATCATTTTTCGTTTGATCGTTCGCTTCATCTATATATATATATATATATATTTATATATATATATATATATATATATATATGAAAAAGAAGGTGTCCTTGAATCCAGTGGAAAAATACCAAGAAGTGGAGGACGGGCAAAACGAAAATTTTTTATTTTTCCTACGTTTAAGCTGGGGACCGGCCTTCATCAGGGAAAACACATTACAAAAATGCGCGTTTTTTAAGCAGGCATGGTATATCAAGGGCCCCTGGCACGTGAACTATCACTATCATGCACTATCTACTGTGACTTGGTCAGTAATGAACAGCAGAGAATGTCAAAGCAATGTCAAAGAAAGATTATGAGAATGCATGAACGGTGTTTAGATCAAGTACATCACATGAATAGCACTTTGAAAAGTACAGTAATATCTACAAACAAAACTATCAAACCCATACAGCAAATCACACGCACAAAAAGACAAAAAAGTATAGCAGAAAACGTTCAAATGGAACAAGATGCGTAACTAAGAATTTCATGGGGCACAAACAGAATTGATGACACAAAGTAAAGAAATTCACTGCATTGAAAAGGTGTTGTAAAAATCTGCGTGTACACTGATTATGAACATACTGTGATGAAACAAAAACTTAGTTCTGAGCCGAAAGAAACGTCAGTTTGCCTGGATCTTCATTTATATCGGATAAGATCACGTTGAACTTGTGTATCAGAAATGACTCGTGCAGTTCCCTATCATAGTGTGAAGGGAAACCTGATTCCAGTATAGTAGCTCTTAGTTTAATAAATGAGTGACCAGGAATGTTAACGGAGGCTTATGAAGAAAACGTTTCCAACAAAACGGTGAACAGCAACACACTAGCGCGGTTACTGGAACTAATCCTGACATTGAACAATTTTTAATTTGACGGTGTACATTATGTTCAGGTTAGTGACACTTCTATGAGTACGAAAATTGGATCAAGCTATGCAAATATCTTTATGGGCCAACTCGAAGATAAATTCTTAGACGCATGTAGTCTCAAACCGTTTTATTATAAGCGTTATATTGCCGACGTCTTTCCGATCCGGCAGCACAGACAGACAGAACTTCTGTCGTTCATTGCAGACTTCAACAAGGCTCATCCCACCATCTCGTTTTCGGAATCATACTCAAGCACAGCAATAAGTTTTCTTCACGTCACGGTTACTATACGTGCTAACAAAGTGAACTAAACTCTTTAGAAAACCTACGGACAGGCAGTCATACCTACATTTCAATAGTTCACATCCAAAGCACTGCGAAACCGCAATCCCATATGGTCAAGCACTGCGTTTCAAGAAAATATGTTCGAACAATTCAGATCTTACAGACAACTGCACCAAACTTCGGGAGGCGCTACAGAAACAAACATAACCACCACAAGTTATTAACAATGCTATTAAACGGGCTGAAGACATTGACCGTAAGGAACTTTTTATTCGGAAGATGCAGGTCGCACCCTCAAGCACAAGCCTGGTTTTACCACACGCCGCATCAGAACCAAACATCAACAGCATTCTTCAGAAGCATCACAACATACTAATACAGAGTGATCACCTTAAAAAACTCTTTCCTGATCCCCCACGTGTGGCATATCGCAGATCGAAGAACTTACGCGACATACTAACCTCATCAAGGATTACCGCCACCACTTTTTCTGGTTCTCATCCATGCAAAAAACCCCGCTTGCAAAGTTTGTAACCATACGACGACGACCACTTTGATTAAGAGTACAGCATCAAACTTTCATCTACAAATAAAGGGGGATTTTGACTGCGACACACGCAATATTGTGTACATGCTTGAATGCTCTGTGTGCAAACTCTAATACATCGGACATACTGAAACATCCTTTTAGACTACGCTTTAAAAACCATAAGTCACATGCCACAAGCCTACCCAATCTGCCTTTGTCTAAGCACGTTAACATTGACTGATATGTGGGGTTTAACGTCCTAAAACCACCATATGATTATGAGAGACGCCGTAGTAGAGGGCTCCGGAAATTTCTACCAACTGGGTTTCTTTAACGTGCACCCAAATCTGAGCACACGGGCCTACAACAGTTCCTCTTCCATCGGAAATGCAGCCGCCGCAGCCGGGATTCGAACCCGCGACCTGCGGGTCAGTAGCCGAGTACCTTAGCCACTACACCACCGTGGCAGGCCACATTAACATCCCTGGTCACTCATTCAATAAACTAAGAGCTACTATACTGGAATCAGGTTTCCCTTCACAACATGATAGGGAACTATGCGAGTCATTTCTGATACACAAGTTCAACGCGATCTTATTCGGTATAAATGAAGATCCAGGCAAACTGACGTTTCTTTCAGTGCAGAACTAAATTCTCGTTCCATCACAGTATGTTCATAATCACTGTACACGCAGATTTTTACTACACCTTTTCGGTGCAGTGAATTTCTTTACTTTGTGTCATCAATTCTGTTTGTGCCCCATGAAATTATTAGTTGTGCATCTTGTTCCATTTGAACGTTTTCTGCTATACTTTTTGTCTTTTTTGTGCGTGTGATTTGCTGTATGGGTTTGATAGTTTTGTTTGTAGATATTACTGTACTTTTCAAAGTGCTATTTATGTGATCTACTTGATGTAAACACCGTTCATGCATTCTCATAATCTTTCTTTGACATTGCTTTCACATTCTCTGCTGTTCATTACTCACCACGTCACAGTACATAGTGCATGATAGTGATAGTTCACGTGTCAGGGGCCCTTGATATACCATGCCTACCTAAGAAAAGTGCATTTTTGTAACGTGTATTTCCTGATGAAGGCCGGTCCCCAGCTGAAACGTAGGAAAAATAAAAAGTTTTCGTTTTGCCCGTCCTCCACTTCTTGGTGTGTGTGTGTATGTATGTATGTATATTTATATTTATATCTATATATATATATATATATATATGTACATTATATATATATATGCATGTGAGCTTCCTAATAATGTGGCTACTTTAATCATGAAGACCATGCAACATGTGTGCTCACCCTGATGGAAACAGTTCCGGCAATTATGCCATCAACTGTAGACTCCGTAAAGGGATCGAACTTGCGATCAGCCCTCCGCATAAAGTCTGGCTTGAGGAGGTATCCGCTGCGCCCGTTGAACTCGAAAATTCCCAGGTTCAGCTGCATTCCTAGATCTGTGCCAAGGAAAAGATTAATGAACTTCTCTTTAATCTGATAAAGAAATACTGCTGAAATCATTATTGAACTGCAGGAAAGATTAAACAAAGGTCTGTGAACACAAACCGATCCGAAACAGGCCACTTCTTTCAATGACTAAAGTCAGGAAATGTTCCACAATATATAGACTACCAGCTCACAAGCCACAAATATTGAATTAAAAGTAACATTACAGAACGACCAAGGATCAAATGTACGAGTCCAATATGGGGCCCGCTTCAGAATTTTCTTAGTGAACAAACAGTTGGATTAGAGAGCTTGACCTTCATGCTGAAAAAATATAAACATGTGAGTGCTGCTCATGTTGTGATAAGCCAAAATCAGAGCTGCGCAGTATCTAGAATACATGTATCCTAAATATTATCTCAGATGCTCTTTAGGTATATTGTATCTGTATTGCAATACAGCTTGCAAAACAAGTACCAGTCTGTACTTCAAATATATTCAACAATGTATTGGGTATCATAAAGTACAACATACTGCTGTAGAAACATCATGTGATACACTTAACGTCGGCAGAACTGTGCTTCTCCAGCTGATGATGCTGCCACTAAGCCACCTAAACAAATTCAGAACAGTGACATTCTTTTGTCTTTCTGCTTGAGTGCCCCAGCAAGCTTAGGTGATTAAGTCTATACGTGTCTTTATTGGTGAATTAGAGTCAGGTGATGGCACTTGAACGCAGCTGACATTATGCTTCTCAGTGGTTTCTTTCTCTTTACCTGTGTCAGTGCTATGAAGCATGGTTGTTGCCATAATTCAGTGCTTCATACTCCAATGCCTGCGGCTTCTTTCAGTCAAACTCTGATGCCACTATATAATGTCTGTATAAAAGTTTATCCTTGCATGGCACTTTTTTTCAAAGTGTCAAAAATGTAAGAATGATGTGGGGTTCCTTTGCATCTCATGGCTTTCACAAAAGGATTGGAAAGATCTCGTGCAATAAGCTTCATACTATGAAACTGATTTATTTGCAAATTACAGTTCCAACAACCATCGGACCAGAGCTGTCGATGCTTGATGCAATTGAACAAACATTTCGTAACAAAATGTTTTGCGGTGTACTGTATCATGCTAAACTATTCAAGAGTTTTAGTGATCGGTTGATTGTAAGCAGAAAAGCTCTCTTTGCTGTCCTCTATTTTCGAACCACACTTTACCTATATTTGCATGCAAGTCAAGAAGCTTGCAGCTTATTCTCCTCAAAGGTGGATGCACCATTGGGGACGCACGCCAGACTAACGTAACGAGCAGAGAGAACATTCTCGAGTACTTGAGCGGGACTATTTCTTTGGTCGCAAAGGTGATCATCTGGGTGCTTAATTCGGCCGTCTCTCTGGACTGTTCAAGTTGTACAAGGCCTCTGCATCGTTTTTGCACGGTTGTTTATGCCTTTTTATAAGCTTCACCTCAACTCCTTCACTGGTACTTTTTTTTTTCATTTTCTGTGTCATTGCTGCTATTCACACATCTACATTCCATGTGAGTTTAGTGTTCAGTTTAGAGGATCTTGAATGCAGACCTAAAACAATCAGTCTTCTCGATTTTCCACTGCTGGTTACCTGCGGGCTTTCAGAGCCAGTCAGAGCGCGCCCGTTTTTCTCGGCTTGGATGGTTCTGGCTACCCGCGGGGATCCCGAGGGCCGCCAGAAGCGCCCAGGACATATCGTTGTGAAAGCTCTCTGAAAAGTTTTGGGCAGGTTTCTGGCTAGCAGACGCCGAAAAGATACGATACGCACTCATGGCCATCTTTGAGAGGACTCAACGAATTGCAATGTGGGCCCTTGGGGACTGCACCTTTGCTTATCAGTCACAGGTGAAAAAGAAGCCAAACGGCGTTGTGTAGCGTGCCGGTTGTATCACTCGAAGCCCGTTTGCTAGGAGCACTGCAGTAATCGATAGTGCATCAGCAGTCAGATGGCTTGATATTTTGTTTCGAGCACTTTTTATAGAAGCCAGAAAATATTCACCATACTAATAGCCAAAAAAGTATTGGTTCAGTCGTTTTTAAAGTACACTCTACAACGTGATGAAGTGCACTTGGCCACGAACAGAATATCAAAATAATGAATGACTCACTTCAGGTAACTAGTAGTTAAGTACTACACAAAGATTTCATAGAGAGGGCCACATGGTGGTGATTCATATGTTATTGATTTCAGTCAGGCATGGTTAAACGCTCATTCTTTTTTATATTTGGTTCCACTAACATGAAATGCCCTTCATTCACTGTCATGTTTTATACAGAATTGCTTTACTAATATTTAGGTGCATTGGTTTTCTTTTTTAGGCAATGGTAACAGTTTTTTTTCCTTTTTTTTCAATGTTACAAGTAAGGAGAGAGAAGTTGCAATATTGTCAATAGCAGTGATAATGTGCAACGCTTTTTGCTCCATGCAATACATTGGGGAAGCTTTTGGGCAGCCCAAATTCTCTGGGAGAGAGAATACTACAAGATTGAACATTAGTGAATAAGTTGCTAACGAACTCTTCACGCAAGTAGATCCGTGGAATATGAAAAATTCACTGCAGTTCTGTGTCCTCACTGAATTGTGAATGCTGAATCAATAGCTATATACTGTTCACATGATGCTTTACAAAAAATATCGTCACCAGTTATGTTGCAGTTCTACACCTGTCAGATTATGGGGTTCTGTGAAAACCGTAATATGCTTACAGAAAAGGTACGACTTTGCACCGGTATTTGTACTATCATGAGGAGGTGCATATAGCAGTGCAATTGAAGTTCTTTGAATTAGACGGCAACCCGCAAGCTGGTCAACAAGTAGACCACCGACTTCCATCAAATACAAAAATGTAAAACAAACAAATCCTACTACAGTTAAATCTGGATATAACAAGATTGATAAAATTTTAGAAAAATTTGTTATAAAGAATATTTTGTTATAAGCAGGTTCGTACGAAAATTCAGGAAATAAAAGTGAATATAAACAAAAGGGAGATGAAGGCAGAGCTAACCGAGAACACTTAGTTTACAGTAAAAAAACTGCATTATTATTGCAAATGTGAGGAGGTTTATGAGTCGTTAAAGACAGCGACGAGACAGCGTGAACAACCGTCCAGCGATCGGCACAGCAACGAACCGAAGCACGAGCCGAGAGAGCCAGGCGTTGGCGATGCTGCTCGCTGCAGGCACATCTTCTTCTTCACAATCGCCCCCGCTGAAAAAGGAGCCATCCTGGCGACTTAAGAAGTTTCAGGCAGAGGCTCATGGTACGGTTTCAGTCGGGAAACATGGACGATGTCACGTGAACGCCGGCGCATGTCGTCCGATCGGGAAACTGGTTCAATTAGAAAATTAACCGGAGATGTTTTCCTCCAAAACGGTGTAAGGCCCCTCGTACCGGGGGACAAGTTTCGAGGAGAGTCCCGGTGTTTGGTGTGGGATGGCAAGCCACACAAGAGACCCTGGGGCATAGCTGGGATCCGGAAGAGAGGTGCTACGGGTTTCTTTCTGGCGTTGTTGCTCTTCCGAGGTGAACGCACGGGCGAGCTGGCGGCACTCTTCGGCTTGTCTAGCAGCATCGGAGATAGGTGGACACTCGGAAGCATCAGGACGGTAAGGAAGTAGGGTATCAATTGTATGGGAAGGCTCGCGTCCGTAAAGAAGAAAGAAAGGTGAGAATCCCGTGGTGGTTTGTATTGCGGTATTATACGCGAACGTGACGTATGGGAGAACACGGTCCCAGTTGCTATGATCAGATGCCACGTACATTGAGAGCATATCACCTAGCCTGCGGTTAAACCGTTCCGTTAGTCCGTTAGTCTGCGGGTGGTATGCTGTTGTTTTCCGATGAATGACGTGGCATTCCGAAAGCAGAGTTTCGACGACCTCGGAAAGGAAAGCGCGGCCTCTGTCACTAAGGAGCTCTCGAGGTGCACCATGTCGAAGGATAAAGCGTTGCAAAATGAAAGAGGCGACATCCTGAGCTGTAGCGCTCGGCAAAGCGGCTGTTTCGGCGTAGCGTGTCAGGTGGTCAACCGCCACTATAATCCACCGATTACCATCTGGTGTCAATGGAAGGGGACCGTAGAGGTCAACGCCGACGCGATCAAATGGCTTGGCAGGGCATGGAAGTGGCTGCAATGCGCCAGTCGCACGTGGCAGTGTTGATTTACGTCGCTGGCAGTCAGGACAGCACTGCACGAATTTATGTACAAAATTGTACATGCCGCGCCAGTAGTAGCGATGGCGAAGGCGTTCATATGTTTTGAACACTCCGGCGTGGCCACATTGCGGATCGTCGTGAAGGGAGGCACATACTTGCGATCGTAAAGTGCGTGGAATGACCAGCAACCACCGGCGGCCATCGGGAGCGTAGTTGCGTCGATGAAGAAGTTGATCGCGGATGGCGAAATGGAAAGCTTGACGTCGGAGGGATCGAGATACTGGAAGGTTGGGCGTGCCAGATAAATATTCGATAAGAGAGGCGATCCACGGGTCACGACGTTGTTCGGTGGCAATCGAGTCGAGATTTAGTGATGACAAGGTCTGGAGGCAAGTGTTTCCGCACGTCTGATCTGGTGGTAAAGCTGAGCGGGACAGAGCATCAGCGTCAGAGTGTTTGCGTCCGCAGCGGTGTACGACACGAATGTCGTTCTCCTGGATGCAGAGTGCCCATCGCGCAAGGCGGCCAGAAGGGTCTTTCAATGTGGAGAGCCAGCAAAGCGCGTGGTGATCAGTTACTAGATCGAACGGGCGGCCGTATAAGTACGGCCGGAACTTTCCAAGCGCCCACACCAGAGCCAAACACTCTTTTTCTGTCACGCTGTAATTAGTTTCGGCTTTCGTCAGAGTGCGGCTAGCGTAGGCTACAACGTATTCTGAATAGCCGGGCTTTCGTTGAGCGAGGACCGCGCCTAGCCCGACGCCGCTGGCGTCGGTGTGCACTTCGGTAGGAGCCGTCGGGTCGAAGTGGCGAAGAATAGGTGGGGA